GACTAGGAATCCAGGCTCTGTAAATGGTTGCATCGGTGAAGTAGAGACGCCAGGTCTGTGAGGTGCTACAGCCCCTGAGCCACAGGTGTGGGACTTCTTGCCATGGCAAAATCCCAGCCTTAACTAACAGGTTTTCCTCTGCCTATTGATTTCCCTGGTAGAATCAGAGAAGACAACACAAATCTCACATCATCAGATGATGACTTTGGGCAAAGCAAGGCTGAATTTGTGCACTGACTTCTGCTGCACGTGTCTTGTACTGGATAAGTTTAAAAAGTGGTTCACCTGTTCCAGTAACACGAGCCTAGAGTAATTCCCATTGCACCACTGAGTTATACTAAGATACAAGGAAGTAGAAGGATGTGGTTTGTGGGCTTTACTTGCATTTAGAATACAGAAAAACAGGAGCAGTACAGTCACATACATTTATGATAAGCTGACTTGGCTCTTCATGCTGATGTTTTTAGCTAAAGCTTTTTTGTATCTCTAAAAACATCCTGCTGTGAATTGGAAAATTTCCATGCAGATAGAAGGAGGTTAACAAATGGATCTACTCAACCTGCAGGATATGGTTTCTACAAAATATTGGTACAATACAGTCATATATGGCCATACATTCCCATCCTGTACACTTGGTTGATCTATTTAATAATATAACACACTAGTTCGTGTTCAGACAGTCAGATGCAAACACAGATAACATAACACATCCTGAATACTGTCTTTAAAAGTAGTTTTAAGCCTTCAAAATGCAATGAGAAGATGAAAATTATCTCAGTGTTTCTTTTCCCAGTGTCCTGCTAGGACTGGAAAGTTGGAGGAGTTAGCACATCTTGGTGCCTTACATGAGCTGAATAAACATCTCAGATAGTCATTTCACATTCATGTGCAATAATCACTTGAGGAATGTATTATTTTCCAACATTAAAGAAAGGAGCAAGTTGCACAGTCTTCTTCTGCAACATCCAGGCTCTGCTTTACCAGCTTCCCTGTCACAGAACAGCTTGCCTCTCTTTTCTCACAGGCTCCACTTTCCACATGTGATGTACCAACCACTGAGCAAACCCAAACACCTTGCCCCATTTGCTGCACTCCTCCATTGCCAGCACTGCACCAGTTTCTGCAGGTGGCTGTACAGCAGCACTGCACTGGCACAGGTTGCCCAGGAGGTGGTGGGTTGAAGTTGAAGTTGGAAGGGACCCTTAAAGGCCATCGAGTCCAACTCCCTGCAATGAGCAGGAACACCTACAGCTCCACCAGGTGCTTGGAGTCTCATCCAGCCTGACCTTGAATGTCTCCAGGGGTGGGGCATCCACAGCTCTCCAGGCAACCTGTGCCAGTGCCTCACCACTCTGATAGTAAAAATAACAATATACCAATATTATACATCTCTTGCACATAAGGTTTCAGAATTGCTGCTGCAAAACCTGAGTGAAAAGGCAAAGGATATTGGATATTCCTCAAGAACAGTCTGAGAAACACAAAAACTTTCAATCAGTAAAGTACTTGGTACAGTCAAAGGTGAGAAATGTAGCTGGACATAGGGTGGATTCTGAGTCAGAAGAACCATATCTCAAATAATTTCATAATTCAGGCAGACTTGCAGATCTCACATTCAGCTCTTTTGGAGTTCCTTGTCTTCATTCCTCTCACAGACTTCTCCATCCTTTGTATCCTTCTCTATCCCCAGGACAACACTGATTTGAAAGAGGGCTATTTTTGTGAGAGTAGCTTACATGTCCCTCCTTTTCCTGTTACATTTTCACTGGTTTTGTCCAACTGCTTCCTTGATGTCTCCTCCTGCATGAAAGGCTGAAGCAAGGAGAAGAAATAGTTCTGCATACTCGAACGTGATTGCAAGGTTCCTTTATGGACCTCATTGTCTGGAAGCACTAGGCCTGGAGAAAAGCTAAATGGCAAATCTCAACTCTAGGCATCTGTTTGTTGAAAGTGAATGAGAAAAAAAGAAGCAGGTCCTGGAAACAGGCAGCTTTGATTTGGTCCTCCTGTGGCACAGGTTTTACTGGCACAGATTAATTATTGCCCTGATAGCTTGTAATGAAAGCTAGATGAAACCAGAGAAATTACGATGGAGATGTAGAAGTGGTGCATGGGCTGTTGCTGTTAGGTTACCATGTTTATACAGTGATGATTTTGAAAGGTCAGACAAGAGTTGGAGGAAGACAAGACAACTTCATGATGTAGACAGCTGCATTTTATCTTTAGCATGGAGGAAATGGAACTAAACACAAAGAAACCTCCCGTTTCTGGAAGCCGATGCATTGGGATCACTGGAGGCCAGGAGAAAGCCAAGGAAGGATCACTCCATGCTTGTCGTGCTGTAGATGAGTTCTCCTCACTGTCTCCGAATGGCTCTGACTCTGGGGTTGCCAAACACTTCCAGCTTTGACTGATGTCAGTGCACAAAACAAACGCAGCAGTTTTCAGACATTAAGTTTTACACAAAGAGCCCACAGAACCACCTCTTGCTTGCCAGCCCTCATCACTCGGTCCCAGTGGTCCATCAGCTGTGTAAACACAAAAACCAGTTCTGCTGATAGAACAGTGAATTGTTTATTTTTTAATATATTCCTGTTTACTCAAATAAATTCCCACTGATTCTGTGACGTCTTGATTAAAGGGCTGCACAGGTACTTTGTGGGCTTGACATGTTCCTGGGTGTGTCTGCCCAAGGCACCACACGGCACAGATACCGATTTACGTTTAGGTATTTGCCATTAAAATCCAGTTCTGTGCGAGGCTGGAGAGGGCTGCAGTCGCCCGCAGATCGCGAATCCTCAGCTACCGAGGATGCGGTCTCCTTGGAAATAACGCTCCCTGCAGGGAGAGCATCTCTCAGCACTACAGACTCCTGCCAGTATAAGGCAGCTCCCCTCTCCCCCCTTCGCTCCCCGCGATGTTACCCAGCCCTCCCTTCATTTCGATACCCCTCTCCCGTCGATACCCACTCAACGCCTTCCCACCCACCCCCACGTCGGGGCGATGCAGGGCCGAGGCCGGGCCCCGCTTCCCACCGGACCCCCTTCCCTCCTCACCCGGAGGAAGCACCGCACCCTGGGGTTGGGGAAAGGAGGAGGGGAGGATGAGGAGTGGGGGTTCTGCCCTCGCCCCGCAGCCCGGATCCGCCTCCCGCATCGCTCCGCCGGAGCCTCTCCGCCTTTCCCCTCTCCCGTAGCCGCGTTCGTTGAGCGGAGATCGCTCCGAGATGGCAAACGTGGGAGGTGGATCGCCCCTAAAAAAATGATGATGGTAATAAATAAATAAATAAATAAATAAATAATGAAAAATAAAGCCGACCCGAAGCGGGGCAGCAGGGACAGGGCAGGGCGGTTTGAAGCGCCTGGATGAAAGGTCTGAGCTCGTTTCAGGCGCTCAGAAAGCGGCCCGAAGGATGCTATTTTGCCGCAGTCTGGGTTGTTTCAGCCCCCAGTTGCACAACAAACCGTTTAAACATTTCAGCACAAAACAGATTCCATTGTCGGGCTGCACATTAAAAAGTGTTATTCGCTTTGAAGTTTTTGTCTAATGGCTCTAAACTGAAAGAAAATGTTTTCCTATTACTTAATTCAATCATAGCGAAGAGGCTTGGTAAAAAGCCCACGGATTTTGCCCAAAGTGTGACAGAGTTCTCTTTGTGTTTGCTTATCCTCTGCTGTCACACACTTTAATTCGCCTCTCTTTATCTGGCATTCAAAACTTTCTTCAATGACATTCAATAAGGTCCAGCGGCTGGAGAAAAAAAACTGGTTATTTTTTGGGATATTCTTTCCCAGTGGCTTTGGGCTCGGTGTGCATTCAGGGGCCGTTAACCCTTTGCCTCCCCGCGACTCGGAGCGCTGCGGTCCGCCCCGGGCAGCAGATCGCCTCGGGCCGTCTGGGCCCCCCCCGGCGGCCGCGGCTCAGCAAGGCGATGCGCCCCGGCCCGGGGAAGGCCTTTACATGCCGAGTTCTTTACGAATGAAAACGGAATTAACCAACCCCGTTAAGGCTTTGAAGGGAAGGGCACTTGGAAATTCTTTCTAAATCTGAGTAAAAATCGAGTTTTCGCTCGCATTCGTTTTGGATCATCCCGTGCTTTTACTGTACCGATTTGTTCCCATCCCCACATTTTCAGGCTCGAGCACCGATCTCGTCTCGGCAGAAGTGCGGGGATGTCAGAGCAGCGAACCCCGCAGCGGGAGCAGCAGAACGCGGCGCTGCGCTTCCCGGGCGGTCCTTCTCCTCGTCCGAAGGAGCGGCTGTTCCCGTGCGGCGCAAATCCCCCACGCTCTGCGCTTCGTCGGCAGCGCGTCTCTTTTTCCCTTTCTTTTTCTTTCTCTTTCTTTTTTTTCTTTTTTTCTCCCCACAGTATTAAACAGGAAGATGGGGAGCAAAGCACATTCCGATGACTCCTTTTTCCATATTTATGTCTCTCCTTCACCCCCTAACACGTCGGCCGCAAAAAGCCGTTTTGCGGGTTGTGCCCGGAACGCGGCGCGGCTCGCGGTGCTTGTCTCCGGGAGCGGACAGGGGCCGTGCGGGGCCGTGCGGGAGCTCGGCGGTGCCACAGGTGGGAGAGGAGCCGGGGAGCGGCGGGGGAGCGGCGCGGCCGGCAAATAACCGAGGGGGAGCGGGCCGAGAGCTGGGCTGAAAGAGAAGGAGAGCGATAAAGAGAAAGAAAAGAATATTAAATCGCGAGAGAATGAGAAAATAACCCCGCCAAAGGGAGAGGAGGGGAGAGGCCGCCTGCTACGGCGTGGGTGGGGTCGACAAGAATAGAGTACATTATGCAGTTCATTTAGTTAACAAGGGAAATAATGAGGGAGCGTGCGGCGTGAATGCCAAGAGAAGCGGCACAGAAAGCCCATTGAGCGCCCGGCGCCGCCATCACATGGCGCGGCCGCTATTTAAGGCGGGCGGGCGCCGTTCAGCACCACTCGGGCTGGCCAGCGGCGCTGCGCGGGGGCTGCGCGGGCGCTGCGCGGGGGCTGCGCGGGGCAATGCCGCGCTCCTTCCTGGTGGACTCGCTGGTGCTGCGGGAGGCGGGCGAGAAGAAGGGCGAGGGCAGCCCCCCGCCGCCGCTCTTCCCCTACGCCGTGCACCCCTCGCACCCGCTGCCCGGGCTGCCGGCCGGCGCCTGCCACGCGCGCAAAGCCGGGCTGCTGTGCGTGTGTCCGCTGTGCGTCACCGCCTCGCAGCTGCACCCGCCGCCGCCCGCGATACCCCTGCTCAAGGCCTCCTTCCCCCCGTTCGGCTCCCAGTACTGCCATCCGCCCCTCGGCCGCCAGCAGCACTCCGTGTCCGCCGTCAGCGTGGGGCACGGCCCGGCGCTCTACCAGGGTGCCTACCCGCTGCCCGACCCCCGGCAGTTCCACTGCATTTCCGTGGGTAAGAGGCACGCGTGGGCACCGCATGCAGAGGGAGGTGGGGGGGGCGGCGTGAGGACGGAGGCTCGACGGGGCGGACGGGCGCCGCGCCCCGCTGGGTGCGCGGGGTATGCGGGCGGGGGGAAGCGGGAGAGGGGCGGCCTCCGTGGCCTTCCCGGGGAGTGCAGAGGGTGCGGTGGGTGCTGAGCTCCGCTCCGCTCCGCAGACAGCACGTCGAGCCAACTGCCCAGCAGCAAGAGGATGCGCACCGCCTTCACCAGCACGCAGCTCCTGGAGCTGGAGAGGGAGTTCGCCTCCAACATGTACCTCTCCCGGCTGCGGCGAATCGAGATCGCCACCTACCTGAACCTCTCCGAGAAGCAGGTGAAGATATGGTTCCAGAACCGCCGGGTCAAGCACAAGAAGGAAGGCAAAAGCGGATCCCACCGGGGCGGGGGGCCCGGGCACAGCTGCAAATGCTCGGCCCTTTCCACCACCAAGTGCTCGGAGGACGACGAGGACTTGCGCATGTCTCCGTCCTCTTCGGGGAAGGACGACAGAGGCCTCGCGGCCACCCCCTGACCCCCGGCTCCTCAGGGACTGTGCCGGGAGCGGAGGGGGGTCCGCGCAGCCGGATGATTTTCTACCGTTTTGTATAATCCGTGTCGTTTACGAAAGACTTTCTCGCCTTTCCACACCCCCTACCCGTAGCGGCGGCCGTGCGGGTGCCCCGCTGCCAATAAGGCGTTCCTCGGGACTCCCGGCGTCCCACGTCGCGCTGTCCCACCTGATGCCGGGGGTCCCCGCAGCCTCCACGGGCAGAGCCGGACCGGAGGGCAGAGAGCGCAACGCGGGGCGAGAGCGGGCAGCCGGGGAGGGTCGGGACTGTTCGGGTTCTTGTCATAATATTGGCTTTCTTTTTTTTTCCTCCCCCGCCCCCCCTCCTCCCTCAACTGTACTCTTTTGTTTGTTTGTTTGTTTTGTTCTGTTTTGACGTTGTCTCTGGTGGGCGCGCAGCTATGGCTGTACCGCCCCATCCCCGTCCCCATCACCATCCCTCCCCGGGAGATATTTATTTATTTATTTATGTGCTGAGAAACGATGATGGCGATGTTAATAATGACGATGATGTCAATAAAGGCTCCGCTGGTGGTTTATTTCCTCACACAGAGCCGTACACTGCCGCGCTCCGGGTTCCGGTACCCCCCGGGGCATTGTCTCTCCCCATCTCCAACGGACGGAGCTCGGCACCGGCACGGGGACCGAGGTGGGCACCGCCCATGGGGACTGCTCTCCGAAAATCGAAGGTACGGGGTGCGGGAAACTCCTTGTCCGACACCCCGCCGGTTTGGAGGAATCCCGGGAATCTCCTCGCAAAGCTGCAGCCCGACGGAGAGGGCCGTCGTAAAACTATGTTCCCCGCTGAAAAGCAGCCAGGAAGTGTCCTGTGTCAAACGACAGTGACAACGGCGGGGCACCGGTGGCGATGCTCCCCCTCTCCTGGACGAGACGGGGGGATCGGGCGCATCTCCGAGGCTCGGTGCCTCCGAGTCCCCGCGCCGCGCGCGGAGGGCGCAGCTCCGTTCTGCTGTGTGCGGGAATGCGCTCCGCTTGGGCTCATGGGGACGCGCTCTCAGATCGCCGGCTCAGTATCACTCAGCCCGGGGCCGTCTGGAAGCGGCCCCGATGTCTGTGTGCCTCCTATCCCTACCAGGCCCTGGGTCATCCCTGCCTGGAGATACCTAAAAATCCCCGCAGAAAAAGCCCACAAGCCACACGAGCTGAGTGCAGTGCTGCTGCCAAGAGATCCTCATGTCTCAGCCACCAAAGGGGCACTTCACCTTCTGTCCCGCTGTGATGACCATGGCTGTGGGGCACTGCAGGGGCCCTCCTGGGCAGTGTCTGCTCAATGCTGTGCTAAGAATGCATGGTATCACTCTGGCTCCTCTCCCTATGGCTGTTTGTACATCCCTTTGTCGGTAAGGGATGAAAAATCCCCATGGGGTGAGAACCTGACCTCATTGCAGGAGGCAGTCAGACTCGTCCTGTCCTGGCCCCATGGTGTCCCCTGTTTGCCCTCCACAGTGGCCCAACTCCAGCCAGCGAACCCCTCAGCCAATTGGCTCAGCGGGGCCCTGCAGTCCTTCCAGCCCTCACCCCGCTCCCTGCCCACGCTAACCAGCCTTGCTTGGGAGAGTCATTGCAAAATAGAGACAGCAGCAGTCCAGCGTGGGCTTACAGGGGGCTGGCATTGCAGTCAATAAACAACCATGCATGGAGGCTTGTGCGTGCTTTTTGTGCCCCCCTGGCATAGTTAGCAGCCAGCTGGCTGCCAACTGGAATGAGAGGAACACCAGCAATGGGCATTCAGTGTTGCTATTAAACTGCTATTGTGGTTGTGATGTGGAAACTCAGAATCCCCATTTGGCAGCATGTCCCCCCTGGCTCTTCACTTCTCCCCAAGCACCTCAGGCACAGTGGGTGCAGGGTGCAACATTGTCCCCATGGGCACACACAGCATGGGGAGCGTGCAGACACACATCTGTATCCTTCACAAACTGAGTTTGGGGACAATCCTCAGCCTAAAAGACATCTTGTATATGTAAAGCAGCAACAAGAATTCCCCCATATGGTGTAATTTTGTCTGAACAGCAGTGAAGGGTCACTGTGGATGCCCCCAACAAGGCAATATTAATATTCTCTGATACGCGCCAGCCTCTGCTGCAGACCCCATGTCCTCTGCAAAGCCCACGGGGGCTCTCAGTGCACTTGACAGTCATTATGCCACATCCACATGCAGAGATAATCCCTCCTTAGTTGGGCATTTTTCTAATTTAGTGAGAAATCATTACAGCAAATGCTCAGAGTGTCATTTTCAAGGACCCTGGTGTTGGGCAAATTAAAGTCATTTTGCTGTGGGAAGAGCATGGGCACCTCTGCTAGAGCAAATGTCAGAACACACCAATTTTCAACTTTCTATCTCCAGCCATTTTGATGGGAGGTTTTTGAAAGTTACTTAAACATTTTAGCATGTGAAATGCCTGGTCCTTTGTGACTGCAACAGGAATAGCATTTGCAAATCCACAAGAAGAGTTTGACCATCTTTCAGCATATCATTTTCCACCATATTTTTATCTTGAAGTTGAAGCATTTCATGGAATCACAGAACCATTAAGGTTAGAAAAGACCCCTAAGACCATCTAGTCCAACCCTAAACCATCCCCACCATGCCCACTAACCATGTCCTGCAGGGCCACATCTCTTGAACACCTCCAGGTGACTCCATCACCTCCCTGGGCAGCCAGTGCATTGCCACTCTTTCTGAGCAGCAATTTTTCCTAATATCCAACCCTAATATTCCTATCAAGAAGAAAGGAAACTCTTTGGGTGCTACTGGAACTTTGAAGATTGGGCACCACAGCAAAAGTGGGTTATGCTGACAGTGGAAGGAAGACTGGATGTTCACAATTCAGTTTCTTGTCAGAAAATGTATTTACACAGTGAGTAAATGTGTATTTATACACTGAGCTGGCCCTGTGGTCATGGAATAGCATTTACTGTAAACAGATTGATTCTGTTCTGAAATGGTGCTCCACTGGATACAACTGGGTGCTTCTTCTACTTGTGTTTACCTGGAATTATTCTTACCAAAGGATCAACCTGGAAAATCCAGGCTCCGCTTTTCATCCTTAAGCCTTGACACAGGCTGTGAAATTTGGTTCTGTAATGACAGCGTGATTATGCCTGTGAAAGTTATTACTTGAAAATGTAGATGGGTGTTAACTTAAGACCTGAAATAAAATGTTTTTTATGACATTCCAAATGGTTTGAAACACACACATCGACGTGAGCGATCTCTCAGTTACATTAATTTTGAAATTGTTTTTGCTATGAACACAAAGTACTCATTTATCGGGATGCAATTATGCAGGATCTGATCTCCTAGGATACTGACACTGATGATGACAGCAAATGGCTGTGCCCGTTGCTTAATGCAGCTTTACACAGACCAGCAGTGACTGGTGCTGGTCTGCTGGTGCTCTATGCATGCACTATGTGCTCTGTATACACTATGTCGTCCATATACACTCTAGGAGGCCCTGAAGTGCTAAAAGAACAAAACTGAAAGAAGAAGCAGCAGTGATCATAAAAGGGAAAAATGCTTTCATGCTTCAATTTTATATCTTTCCCATTCTGCTGCAATTCCCATTTTCTCTGTTGGCATTTTCCATTGGGCCTGTTCACAGCAAGGCACACACAGAAAGGAACGGACTTTCATCTTACAGTTGTTACCAACTTTTCCTCACTGGAAAGACTTCAGGATGGAGCAAAACGTGCCCTGGATCCTGTCCCTAGCTTTGACATGTGTCTGTTGTCTTCCCAAAGCCCCAAAGGCTGATGATGAATGCTCCATGTGCCAGTGAGGAGTTGAGTTTTCAGTGAAGAGCTTGAACAGCCACGTAAATAACCACAGTGTCAGAAGAGTTGGGTTTTTGCATGGTTAGGTATTTCACCCTTGGAGTTCACCCCTGGCTTCTGTTTTTTTTTTTTTAGTTTATCTGATAAAATAATCATGTAATGATCTGGGCATGGAACAACAGGGTTTGAGTTGTGAGTCACGTCTTTTCTGCCTCTTATAACTCTAATAATAACTCCTGATCTTTTTGTTTAGTTTGTACTCTGCTATCACAGCACTATGCACTGCTCTTGCTTGTATCTTAGCTATATGCTTGCAGTTTTCTCTGCCTGGATGGCAGTAATTCCCCATAGAAGCAGTTGATGGGCATTTTGTCCACATGTATTTTAGAGGTGTTTCAGCTGCCTATTATGGTAGGCATTGGTGCCAAAAAAAGCACAGCTACAGTGAGTCTTGAGGCAAAAAAATGCTGGGATTCTGTGCCTGAAAGACCCCTCACTACTTAAAGCTGAGAAGTAAGTATCATTCTACATCATGCCTGTGTTAATGAGTTGCTGCCTCCCTGCTCAATGTGTGTCAGTCTAGCAATGCTGGAGTCTGTAAGTAGCCACGAGAAGGATGGATCTATGAGGAATATCCTCACACTGATGGTTACATCCCCACCTCCATGGCTGACCCCAGATCCAGTTTCACGTGTGATCAGCCATTTTCTCCCAGCATTCGCAGTTCTTCCCCCTCTTTCTGTCTTTTCCCTGGGTCCATCCTTCCAGAGACCTCCTGTGACTCAGCCTCTCAGCCCTGCTGGCACAACTATTGAAGACAACACCGGTTTCCAGCAGTGGTGAATAACTAGCATTTAGAACTAGAACTAGCGATGTGCCATAGAATTGCAGAATCTTCCAGGTTAGAAAAGCCCTTCAAGATCAAGTCCAACCATCAACATGGCTCACCGAGCCCCATCACAAAATCATGTCCCTTAGTACCACACCTACTGAATGCCTCCAGGGATGGTGACTCCACTGATCCCCTGGGAAGTCCCACCATTGTCTCCATAAAGAAATTCTTCCTAATGTCCAACCTAAACCTCTCCTGACACAATTTGAAACCACGTCCTCAACTCCTATCACTCATTACATGAGAAAAGAGAAACATCATCATTGCAGTT